GCGCCTTGTCAAACCTGTGAGCGAAATCTGTGAGGAGCTAGCAGATCCACTCATAGTGAAGCAGCCAGGCTAAGAGCGGGTCCGAAGTGAACGTGACATCCGTTGACATCCGATGCCGGTAAATCCTGACGGTTGGAACTCTGCATCCGAGGGTTGACATTTACCGACATCCAGCGACATCCATTCGACGCTTCACTTTCTGACACGCTCTAAGAAGTGCGATGCAGGCGGGGGACGACAGCTCCAGCCAGCTCCCAGGCACCTGGGCGACGATGCGTGGAAGTTTGAGAATGAACACGAAGTAGTTCTTGAGAGGATTTATCTAATTTCTTCTAAGTGTGAGTGAAGACTCAGGGGGCAAAGCGGGATCTCACTGTTTGTCTGTTAGCAAAGTGTGTAATTATTAACACCACGACCCTCTGAATGCGAAGTTGGTGCTAAAGACTCGGCAAAAAAATAGGCATGTGATGATGTGCCACCGAACACCTCCAAAAACCTAATTTTCCCCTTCACCAGCTCTGGGAGGTTCAAGAACGAAAATCGCACGCGGTAGGAATCATGGCCCAAGTCTTTCCGTTGTTCAGACGACTTGCAGGCTCGGGTTGGAGTTCGAGGTTAGGTTCGGAAGTAGGTGAGGAGGAACCTTGTGCGTGTGCCGGCTCGCTGGGTCCTTCCCGCTGGGTCCTTCCGTCTGACAGAACCTCCTCCCAGGCCTCGGGGCGTCAACCTGCCAATTCTCCAAATTTAGACAGGGCAGCAGCACTGTGCTTTGTGAGCCCATTCCAAGCACTGCCGCTCAGTGCTGTCTAGGCAAGTTCCATCCCTCAGTGACACCTTTCGAGTTAGCATCCATCCGCTTTGCTGTGTAGTCTCGTTTTCCCTCCGTCACCTTCGCTGGGATTCCTATTGTGAAAATTTTGAACTAATGTCACCACCAGAGGTGGTGGCAGTTGTAGCAGAGCAGTTCAGTCGCTCCGCAAATGCCGCCGCCAGAGCCAACTACGATGCAGCTGCGAGCATGGGTTGCACTCTCCGCCGCGCTTTGGCTTGTTGCGTTCATCTCCCCAAGCCACGCGCAAACCGTGATCAGATTGAACGCTACACAAGGTACGTCCGTTCTTCCTCGAACAATGCTACTACTACTACTACCAGTGTAACACATTACCTACTCCAACCAGCACATGTACCGGAATGCTTCTCTAATTTGTACCTCCCTTCCTCCTCGCAGCCTGGTGTAGCGATGCGTCTGATAGTAGTACTAGTAAGTGGGTAAAGACGTCACGTAGTAGGCGCTCATGGTTACTAGTAGACTGCCAACGACAGGTAGGAGGCAGCCATAGTAGTAGTACAGGTAATACCGCCGCACGGCGATGCCTTAGGATGAGTTGGTAACAGCGAGCAATGCCTCTCAACCTCCCTTTTCGTACCTCGTGCAAACCTCACTGTGGTACCATCATCATCGCGCGGTTTTGCACTGCCACAATGCGAGTAGCACTCGTGCGGCACGTGTTCTACACGTGCCGATGTTGTTCCTAGGTGTGCGCGTTTAGAGCCGATGCTTTGAGGCGGGGATGGGAGAGACCCATCGTCACAAGAGCCTTTCCTTGGTTATAGTAGCAAGCGCGGAAAGCAGGGAGCGTTTCGGCGCTGGCTGTAGTAGTGCGACTGCTTAAAATCTTCCCTCCCCCCCCTCTCTCCCCCCCTCCCCAAAAAGTATGTGGTAGCAAAGCTGATTCCCTGACACATTTCCCGCGCAGGCTGTATATATCCATCAGCGTCAACGCAGACCCGTACGCTGTATCCACTCTTCACATTGTGCCTCGAATGGCCCTTACTGATAAGGGGGGAAGTACAACCAGGGTTATAAAGGTTGGTACAGGGGTGCCTGCCACGGCCTAACACTAAGCAAGTCTCCAGCGGAGCTTCTACCCGATGCGTAGCGGCTGAAAGAAGGTGTTCACTGCCGTCGGGGCTGCCACAGAGCCAGCGTGGGTCTTGGCGATCAGTGCGTTCTGGTACACCAGAGGCGGAGTGTAACGCATAACCTACTCTGCCTCATCTACCGCTAACTTCCTAAGTCAACATCGAGAGACTTCCTCGATGAGAAATGACGTGAAGGCAATCGGGAAGGTTGAGTTGGAGAAGAACATTGGTTTGGTTTTCCCAACCCTCAACCTTGAGGCTTGGAAACTTCCAACCCATCAAAGTGAAGATTGGAAAGGTTGGATTTCCAACCAATCAAGTTGTGCCAGTTGTTGTTACAATCCACACAAACTTAAAACAACCATACAATTGTGCTAAGTTGGGTTTTTCCCAAACCAAACTATATTGCCACCTAGGCTCCAAGCCTATTTGCTCCCCAACCATGGAAGCCATGGTTGGGAAAAGCCCCAAGGGGTATGATGGAAGGGGTTGGAGCTCTCAAGCTCATTCCCACTTCCCAACTCCAACAATCTAACTTGGAAATGGGATTTTTACTCTAAGTCTTTTGGGTTCTCCTAATAAGCTCCCCTATACAACTAGACTTGTGATTTTTCAAGGACAAGCTCTACAAGAAGCTCCTACCTACTTATTAAAGCTTCATCAACCTTCTTCAAGCTCCCTTTTCTCCTCTCAAGCTTGAGGAGTACTGTCAAGGCTAAATTACCCCTTGGTGGGTTTAGTTGATCTTGAAAGCCTTGTATCTTGATTTTATAAATGTTGTCAAGGGTGATTTATATTTAACACACGGTTGCCCGTTGTTATAAGGGCCGTGATTGTTACACGGAGGCGCGGTCTGGGTCGTAGACCACAGTAGCGTGGCTTCCGTTACTGTGGCGCAGTCTGCCACAGAGCCAGCGTGGGTCTTGGCGATCAGTGCATTCTGATGCCGTTACTCTGGCGCAGTCTGCCACAGTAACCTCACAGATCCACTCTGCCCCAGTTCAGCCCCTCCACTGGTGTGTACAGCGTAGTCTCCCACTGTGCCGCAAAGCCCGCGTCGGCGGCTGCAATTCCGGTCGACTTTTGAGTCGACTCAAAAGTCAACTCGATCCACACTGCTCCAGTTCAGCCCCTCCACTGGTGTGTACAGCGTAGTCTGCCACTGTGCCGCAAAGCTATGTTGGATTATACGCTCTAGACCCTTTGCGTTTAGCGTATCTACGCTAGCGTGTACACGCAATACGCTAAACGCTAGCAAATACGCAATACGCAGCCATAATTTTTTTCGGGCAGCCCGGAAAATTAAAATCGGGAAAAGATGCGGATTTTCTTGGTGAACTTTTCGCCGGAGTCGAAATGCAAATCCGCGGTCTATGCAAGCTGGGATCTGACTTCGAAGTTTTCAGGCACATCTGGCTATTCAAATGTCGAATTTCAGGTCCCATCTAGGCATTTGAACCCATCCCCTCCACCGCATTGAAAACCATCTTATCTACGAACTCCAACCTATCAAAATCGAACCCCCAACAAACCTCACGCTACTTACCAGCCTGCCCAACTCCTAACCCGTCATTCCTACCTTGCATTCCCGCTTGCAGCAGTGTCCCCGCGCGCGCACTCCAACTTGAACAACCTCTCCAACACTACTCCCTATAGCTATGATGTCTACTCCCCGCCCCACCCAACCCGCCGATCGGACTCAGGAAAATGCTAGGGCACGTCTTAGTGAGATGTGTTTTCGACCGATAGGGATTTTTTCCACCCTGCCCGAAATGTTTTTTCCCTGCCCGAAAAAGCGTATGCCTGATCCGACCCTCAAGCGTATGGCGTATACACGCTAGCGTATATACGATACGCATATATACGCTAAACGCGTATAATCCATCATAGCCGCAAAGCCCGCATCGGCGGCTGCAATTCCGGTCGGGCACATTCGTTGCGCATCGACCGGTGGGTTCCTATGCGTCCTTTCCCCCCGTTCCGCACCGCAGCAGGTGGTTGGGGAGTCTAGTGCACAGTACCTGGGTTGGGTCTTGTCGCAGCAGCACAGTATTTGGGTGTTGCCGCGGCAGTCACATGTGCCAGGTACCTCCTGGGGTAGGCCGAGCCGCCAATGCTGATGTGAAGTGAGCAGGAGAGAGCTGCAGACTGCGGGTAAATGGGACGAACATGAGCCAATTAGTGGGTAAAGGGGACGGCCATCAGCCAAATCCCCGCACCCAGGCCAATCAGGGACATAAAGCACTGCGTGTGGCCCATCAATGGGTAACAGGCATGGCCATCAACCAGTTCCCTGCTCTGCTCTAGGAGATCCCCGTAGCAGCCAGAGTGGACTGCCAAAGGTAGGGCATTCTGACCGTTCAAGATGTCTGCGCTGCGCCCTCCCGGAGCTGGGCGAGAGTGGGGATGCCGACCAACGGAAGGGTTGCTTCTGCTACGGCGATGCAAGTAGGGAGGGTCACACGTGCTTCTGCCGGCAGTGGGGAAGGCTAAAAAAAGATGAGCAGGGCTGCAATAATTCTCAAAAATCGGTCCAGAAGGGGTGGAGGGCGTCTCCGAGCTGCGTGAGGAGGGCTGCAGGTAGTCGCCGTTGACGGCATGTAGGCATAGTTGCAATCCGCTGCCGGATCGGTGATGCCGAGGCCTCCCAGGGTAGGTGGGAGTGAGGCGGCAGGCGGGCCGACCGGACTGCCGAAGATGCACGCGCAGGCCGCCCTCGTTGAAGGGCACGTCTTGGGGGAGGTCACCCTCGTTGAAGGTGCTCGCACACGTCGGGGTGGTGAAGCGAGTAGGTGCTTGCCCACGTCGGGGCGGTGAAGCGAGTAGGTGCTCGCCCACGTCGGGGCGGTGAAGCGAGTAGGTGCTCGCCCACGTCGGGGTGATGAAGCGAGTAGGTGCTCGCCCACGTCGGGGTGGTGAAGCGAGTAGGTGCTCGCCCACGTCGGGGTGGTGAAGCGAGTAGGTGCTCGCCCACGTCAGGGTGGTGAAGCGAGTAGGTGCTCGCCCACGTCGGGGTGGTGAAGCGAGTAGGTGCTCGCCCACGTCGTGGTGGTGAAGCGAGTAGGTGCTCGTCCACGTCATGGTGGTGAAGCGAGTAGGTGCTCGCCCACGTCGGGGTGGTGAAGCGAGTAGGTGCTCGCCCACGTCGGGGTGGTGAAGCGAGTAGGTGCTCGCCCACGTCGGGGCGGTGAAGCGAGTAGGTGCTCGCCCACGTCGGGGCGGTGAAGCGAGTAGGTGCTCGCCCACGTCGGGGCGGTGAAGCGAGTAGGTGCTCGCCCACGTCGGGGTGGTGAAGCGAGTAGGTGCTCGCCCACGTCGGGGTGGTGAAGCGAGTAGGTGCTCGCCCACGTCGGGGTGGTGAAGCGAGTAGGTGCTCGCCCACGTCGTGGTGGTGAAGCGAGTAGGTGCTCGCCCGCGTCGTGGTGGTGAAGCGAGTAGGTGCTCGCCCACGTCGTGGTGGTGAAGCGAGTAGGTGCTCGCCCACGTCGTGGTGGTGAAGCGAGTAGGTGCTCGCCCACGTCGGGGTGGTGAAGCGAGTAGGTGCTCGCCCACGTCGGGGTGGTGAAGCGAGTAGGTGCTCGCCCGCGTCGTGGTGGTGAAGCAAGTAGGTGCTCGCCCACGTCATGGTGGTGAAGCGAGTAGGTGCTCGCCCACGTCGGGGTGGTGAAGCGAGTAGGTGCTCGCCCACGTCGGGGTGGTGAAGCGAGTAGGTGCTCGCCCACGTCGGGGCGGTGAAGCGAGTAGGTGCTCGCCCACGTCAGGGCGGTGAAGCGAGTAGGTGCTCGCCCACGTCGGGGCGGTGAAGCGAGTAGGTGCTCGCCCACGTCGGGGTGGTGAAGCGAGTAGGTGCTCGCCCACGTCGGGGTGGTGAAGCGAGTAGGTGCTCGCCCACGTCGGGGTGGTGAAGCGAGTAGGTGCTCGCCCACGTCGTGGTGGTGAAGCGAGTAGGTGCTCGCCCACGTCGTGGTGGTGAAGCGAGTAGGTGCTCGCCCACGTCGTGGTGGTGAAGCGAGTAGGTGCTCGCCCACGTCGTGGTGGTGAAGCGAGTAGGTGCTCGCCCACGTCGGGGTGGTGAAGCGAGTAGGTGCTCGCCCACGTCGGGGTCGTGAAGCGAGTAGGTGCTCGCCCACGTCGGGGTCGTGAAGCGAGTAGGTGCTCGCCCACGTCGGGGTGGTGAAGCGAGTAGGTGCTCGCCCACGTCGGGGTCGTGAAGCGAGAAGGTGCTCGCCCACGTCGTGCTGGTGAAGCGAGTAGGTGCTCGCCCACGTCGGGGTGGTGAAGCGAGTAGGTCCTCGCCCACGTCGGGGTGGTGAAGCGAGTAGGTGCTCGCCCACGTCGGGGTGGTGAAGCGAGTAGGTGCTCGCCCACGTCGGGGCGGTGAAGCGAGTAGGTGCTCGCCCACGTCGGGGCGGTGAAGCGAGTAGGTGCTCGCCCACGTTGGGGCGGTGAAGCGAGTAGGTGCTCGCCCACGTCGGGGCGGTGAAGCGAGTAGGTGCTCGCCCACGTCGGGGCGGTGAAGCGAGTAGGTGCTCGCCCACGTCGGGGTGGTGAAGCGAGTAGGTGCTCGCCCACGTCGGGGTGGTGAAGCGAGTAGGTGCTCGCTCGCGTCGTGGTGGTGAAGCGAGTAGGTGCTCGCCCGCGTCGTGGTGGTGAAGCGAGTAGGTGCTCGCCCACGTCGTGGTGGTGAAGCAAGTAGGTGCTCGCCCACGTCGTGGTGGTGAAGCGAGTAGGTGCTCGCCCACGTCGGGGTGGTGAAGCGAGTAGGTGCTCGCCCACGTCGGGGTGGTGAAGCGAGTAGGTGCTCGCCCACGTCGGGGTCGTGAAGCGAGTAGGTGCCCGCCCACGTCGGGGTGGTGAAGCGAGTAGGTGCTCGCCCACGTCGGGGTCGTGAAGCGAGAAGGTGCTCGCCCACGTCGTGCTGGTGAAGCGAGTAGGTGCTCGCCCACGTCGGGGTGGTGAAGCGAGTAGGTGCTCGCCCACGTCGGGGTGGTGAAGCGAGTAGGTGCTCGCCCACGTCGAGGTGGTGAAACGAGTAGGTGCTCGCCCACGTCGGGGTGGTGAAGCGAGTAGGTCCTTGCCCACGTCGGGGTGGTGAAGCGAGTAGGTGCTCGCCCACGTCGGGGTGGTGAAGCGAGTATGTGCTCGCCCACGTCGGGGCGGTGAAGCGAGTAGGTGCTCGCCCACGTCGGGGTGGTGAAGCGAGTAGGTGCTCGCCCGCGTCGGGGTGGTGAAGCGAGTAGGTGCTCGCCCGCGTCGGGGTGGTGAAGCGAGTAGGTGCTCGCCCGCGTCGGGGTGGTGAAGCGAGTAGGTGCTCGCCCACGTCGTGGTGGTGAAGCAAGTAGGTGCTCGCCCACGTCGGGGCGGTGAAGCGAGTAGGTGCTCGCCCACGTCGGGGCGGTGAAGCGAGTAGGTGCTCGCCCACGTCGGGGAGATGAAGCGAGTAGGTGCTCGCCCACATCGGGGTGGTGAAGCGAGTAGGTGCTCGCCCACGTCGGGGTGATGAAGCGAGTAGGTGCTCGCCCGCGTCGGGGTGGTGAAGCGAGTAGGTGCTCGCCCACGTCGGGGCGGTGAAGCGAGTAGGTGCTCGCCCACGTCGGGGCGGTGAAGCGAGTAGGTGCTCGCCCACGTCGGGGCGGTGAAGCGAGTAGGTGCTCGCCCACGTCGGGGCGGTGAAGCGAGTAGGTGCTCGCCCACGTCGAGGTGGTGAAGCGAGTAGGTGCTCGCCCACGTCGGGGTGGTAAAGCGAGTAGGTGCTCGCCCACGTCGGGGTGGTGAAGCGAGTAGGTGCTCGCCCACGTCGGGGTGGTGAAGGGAGTAGGTGCTCGCCCACGTCGGGGTGGTGAAGCAAGTAGGTGCTCGCCCACGTCGGGGTGGTGAAGCCAGTAGGTGCTCGCCCACGTCGGGGTGATGAAGCGAGTAGGTGCTCGCCCGCGTCGGGGTGGTGAAGCGAGTAGGTGCTCGCCCACGTCGTGGTGGTGAAGCGAGTAGGTGCTCGCCCGCGTCGTGGTGGTGAAGCGAGTAGGTGCTCGCCCACGTCGGGGTTGTGAAGCGAGTAGGTGCTCGCCCACGTCGTGGTGGTGAAGCGAGTAGGTGCTCGCCCACATCGGGGTGGTGAAGCGAGTGGGTGCTCGCCCACGTCGGGGTGGTGAAGCGAGTAGGTGCTCGCCCACGTCGGGGTCGTGAAGCGAGTGGGTGCTCGCCCACGTCGGGGTGGTGAAGCGAGTAGGTGCTCACCCACGTCGGGCTGGTGAAGCGAGTAGGTCCTCGCCCACGTCGGGGTGGTGAAGCGAGTAGGTGCTCGCCCACGTCGGGGTCGTGAAGCGAGTAGGTGCTCGCCCACGTCGGGGTGGTGAAGCGAGTAGGTGCTCGCCCACGTCGGGGTGGTGAAGCGAGTAGGTGCTCGCACACGTCAGGGTGGTGAAGCGAGTAGGTGCTCGCCCACGGTCGGGGCGGTGAAGCAAGTAGGTGCTTGCCCACGTCGGGGCGGTGAAGCGAGTAGGTGCTCGCCCACGTCGGGGTGGTGAAGCGAGTAGGTGCTCGCCCACATCGGGGTGGTGAAGCGAGTAGGTGCTCGCCCACGTCGGGGTGGTGAAGCGAGTAGGTGCTCGCCCACGTCGGGGTGGTGAAGCGAGTAGGTGCTCGCCCACGTCCGGGTGGTCAAGCGAGTAGGTGCTCGCCCACGTCGGGGTGGTGAAGCGAGTAGGTGCTCGCCCACGTCGGGGTGGTGAAGGGAGTAGGTGCTCGCCCACGTCGGGGTGGTGAAGCAAGAAGGTGCTCGCCCACGTCGGGGTGGTGAAGCTAGTAGGTGCTCGCCCACGTCGGGGTGGTGAAGCCAGTAGGTGCTTGCCCACGTCGGGGTGGTGAAGCGAGTAGGTGCTCGCCCACATCGGGGTGGTGAAGCGAGTGGGTGCTCGCCCACGTCGGGGTGGTGAAGCGAGTAGGTGCTCGCCCACGTCGGGGTCGTGAAGCGAGTGGGTGCTCGCCCACGTCGGGGTGGTGAAGCGAGTAGGTGCTCACCCACGTCGGGCTGGTGAAGCGAGTAGGTCCTCGCCCACGTCGGGGTGGTGAAGGGAGTAGGTGCTCGCCCACGTCGGGGTGGTGAAGCAAAGAAGGTGCTCGCCCACGTCGGGGTGGTGAAGCTAGTAGGTGCTCGCCCACGTCGGGGTGGTGAAGCCAGTAGGTGCTTGCCCACGTCGGGGTGGTGAAGCGAGTGGGTGCTCGCCAACGTCGGGGTGGTGAAGCGAGTGGGTGCTCGCCCACGTCGGGGTGGTGAAGCGAGTAGGTGCTCGCCCACGTCGGGGTGGTGAAGCGAGTAGGTGCTCGCCCACGTCGGGGTGGTGAAGCGAGTAGGTGCTCGCCCACGTCGTGGTGGTGAAGCGAGTAGGTGCTCGCCCACGTCGGGGTGGTGAAGCGAGTGGGTGCTCGCCCACGTCGGGGTGGTGAAGCGAGTAGGTGCTCGCCCACGTCGGGGTCGTGAAGCGAGTGGGTGCTCGCCCACGTCGCGGTGGTGAAGCGAGTAGGTGCTCGCCCACGTCGGGGTGGTGAAGCGAGTAGGTGCTCGCCCACGTCGTGGTGGTAAAGCGAGTAGGTGCTCGCCCACGTCGGGGTGTTGAAGCGAGTAGGTGCTCGCCCACGTCGGGGTGGTGAAGCGAGTAGGTGCTCGCCCACGTCGGGGTGGTGAAACGAGTAGGTGCTCACCCACGTCGGGGTGGTGAAGCGAGTAGGTCCTCGCCCACGTCGGGGTGGTGAAGCGAGTAGGTGCTCGCCCACGTCGGGGCGGTGAAGCGAGTAGGTGCTCGCCCACGTCGGGGCGGTGAAGCGAGTAGGTGCTCGCCCACGTTGGGGTGGTGAAACGAGTAGGTGCTCGCCCACGTCGGGTGGTGAAGCGAGTAGGTGCTCGCCCACGTCGGGGTGGTGAAGCGAGTAGGTGCTCGCCCACGTCGGGGTGGTGAAGCGAGTAGGTGCTCGCCCATGTCGGGGTGGTGAAGCGAGTAGGTGCTCGCCCACGTCGGGGTGGTGAAGCGAGTAGGTGCTTGCCCACGTCGGGGTGCTGAAGCGAGTAGGTGCTCGCCCGCGTCGGGGTGGTGAAGCTAGTAGGTGCTCGCCCACGTCATGGTGGTGAAGCCAGTAGGTGCTCGCCCATGTCGGGGTGGTGAAGCCAGTAGGTGCTCGCCCACGTCGGGGTGGTGAAGCGAGTAGGTGCTCGCCCACGTCGGGGTGGTGAAGCGAGTAGGTGCTCGCCCACGTCGGGGTGGTGAAGCGAGTAGGTGCTCGCCCACGTCGGGGTGGTGAAGCGAGTAGGTGCTCGCCCACGTCGGGGTGGTGAAGCCAGTAGGTGCTCGCCCACGTCGTGGTGGTGAAGCGAGTAGGTGCTCGCCCACGTCGGGGTGGTGAAGCGAGTAGGTGCTCGCCCACGTCGGGGTGGTGAAGCGAGTAGGTGCTCGCCCACGTCGGGGTGGTGAAGCGAGCAGGTGCTCGCCCACGTCGGGGTGGTGAAGCGAGGAGGTGCTCGCCCACGTCGGGGTGGTGAAGCGAGTAGGTGCTCGCCCACGTCGGGGTGGTGAAGCGAGTAGGTGCTCGCCCACGTCGGGGTGGTGAAGCGAGTAGGTGCTCGCCCACGTCGGGTTGGTGAAGCGAGTAGGTGCTCGCCCACGTCGGGGTGGTGAAGCGAGTAGGTGCTCGCCCACATCGGGGTGGTGAAGCGAGTAGGTGCTCGCCCACGTCGGGGTGGTGAAGCGAGTAGGTGCTCGCCACGTCGGGGTGGTGAAGCGAGTAGGTGCTCGCCCACGTCTGGATGGTGAAGCGCGTGGCGTCGCGAGTTGCTCAAAGCACACCCCACTTGGGCCCGCTCCAACACCGTTCTTGCAATCCTCGGGCAAAATGGCTAGGGGCGTGTTGGTGCGGAAGTTGTAAGCCGAAAGGAGAGTGCGGTGCGGACTGCAACACTGGGGTGGGCTCTAGAGTGGCTTCGTTGGTTTGGGCAGAGTGGCATGGATTCTAGGGCCTGCAGTGCCTTCGCTGATCTGCCTCGTTTCACCAGAGTGGTGACTCTGGCAAGGGTGCCCGTGGTGTCTGGCAGCTGCAGTGGCGACATGAGTGGGGACATGAGAAAGGGTGTTCTCTGACCGGCCGCGGTTGCGTTGACGGAGCCCTGCTTCTGATTGGGCTAGCAGGTGACGGAGCCCTGCTTCTGGCTGGGCTGCTATGTGTGGCCCGAAATGAAGATCCCCTTCCAAATTGGGTTCAGGCAGCATTGGCGCCTCGGGATGGTGTTGTAGGTCTGGGGACTTTTGAGCCTGGTAATCCGTTCTGGTTTCCCTGGTCTTCAGTGCTATATTTGGAACTTTCCTCATCTCTGCCTCTGTCTCTCTCTCCCCTCCTGTTCCCAACTGTCAGATGTGTTTCTCTGGGACTGCCAAATGGCATGGGGAGGAAAGGCGGTCCAAGGCTGGGCCGTGGGTGCTGACTGTTCCCGCGCCCAAGGACTCACGTGTGATGATTCAGGCATGATCACTTCGATGTAAGTGTGATCATGTTCCCCGTTTGGGATGGATTGGACCCCACACAAGCTGATAGTGTCCTGCAGGCTTGTGTTGATGGATTTCTTTGCTCATTGGTGAAATTTGCACCATTTATTTCCAGTGCTCACGTCACTCGTGTCTCCGTCTGGTTTCCTCATCTTTCTCCCCCCCCCCACCCACCCCCACGTAGATCTGAAACGGTGAATCTGAATGGACCTATTCCTGACAGCATCTCCTCTCTCACAGCACTAACTTATCTGTAAGTACCACACAGTGAAACTATTAGCTCGCCTGCGATTAGCTAGTCGAATTCCAGGGAAAGAAGGCAGCTAAGAAGAGACGCATATTGATATAGAGGTAGAGAAGGACACGTTGGTAAGCGATAACACAACAAGAATCCAGCACGGCAGTCACATATAAACGTTGGTTGTTGCATCCAATGCCAGTACTGCTCACCATTAGAATAATATTATTGTATTTTTTTTCCATTTTTCCTCACCCTTTGTTTGCCCCTCATAATGTAGCACTTCTCTTGCCTTGTTCTCCTCGTAGTGCTACTCACAGCTTCCCACCATGCTCATACAAAACATCCTCTTGGGTTGCTTGTGTTGCTTTCTATGCTGTCCCTTGGTCCATGCCCACTGTTCTCATCTCCTCACATCTGTCGCCTCAACGCCCCTCCCCGTCCCCCATTCCTCCCCCCCCCCCCTCGTGTGCACACACAGGTCTCTTTCAAACAAGAATGTGACGGGCTCCATTCCAAATGGCATCTCCGATCGTTTTCCAGCTTTTTCATCTGTATGAAGCACCTCGTTTGGCTGGTGATAAGAACGTACACGATCAACGATCACATGGTTTTGAAACTGTCAATGAATATGCATGATTATGCATATAAGGTGCCAGAGTATGCGGTGTACGTATGGTGTAGCAATGTTAAGTTTGCCACATTCGAGGGTAGGTAGTTGGGGACCAGAGAAAATGACGCGAGGTTGGTAGGAGAGCACCGAGGGGTGGAATTCACGGAACCAATGTGAACAAACCAACCCAGGCTCGAGCCGCACATTGAGAAATGCACGGTTTGAGCCTGGGCCAGGTAAATTCACTCTCTCACACCCACCCGATGCTTTTTGCTTGTTATCCTTTCGTATAGTGGAACGTTGTTGCCTTAACCTTGCAGCCAGGTGACACAACACTCAGGGAGGACCCCTTAGGGTGAGAGCTCTATCACTTTCATAGAGAGTGGCTGAGGCAGGACAGGAACAGAGAAGAGGCAAGAAGGACAGAATTAAGGACAGATGGCTGGCAATGGCAGCTTTTTGACAAAACCCTCAAGAGAATATCCTTAGTCACATATTTCAGATGCACACACCCAAGGAAGAAGGCAAGGAGTTCCTGGGTGGCCGCACGTTAAGGCTGCCACACGTTGAGGCTTGGCAGCCAATAACGCTGCAATATTGCGGATCATAACGTAATATGGCCACGTTGTTGGCAACCAAGCCTGGCTGAATATCCCGCAATTCCTCCTGCTGCCCCCCCCCCCCCCCCCCCCCCCCCCCCCAACAACCCCAGCCCAGGGGCCCAGGCCCAGGTTCGAACGAAAACCACATATTCGTCAGACTGACTGGGTGTTGCGACTTGAACCAACAACGATTCGTTTTTACTCATTTCTGCCTCCCACCATGCTCGTCTTATCCCCCAATTGGATCGTCTGTGTGTGCTTGTTGTCATTCGGTTCGGTCCATGCCCTCTAATCTCATCTCTTCACATATTCCTCCCCATCTCATCCCACACACGCACAGGGAACTTTCAAACAACAATCTGACAAGATCCATTCCCAGTGGCATTCAATCTCTTTTTCAGCTCTCTTATTTGTATGAAGCTCCTTGTTTAAGTTTGGTTCCAAGCGTGCATGGTCAAATATCACAGGCAAGCAATAAGAACAAGAGGTTTTGGGTGTTTAAGGGCGTATTCCATGTTGGTGGCAGGGCAACTGTTCACTTCGAGTTGGTGGCAAGTGTACCCGAAAACTTAGTGAGCCGGAAAATGCGCTTGCCACCAACAGTGCGATAAAAAAGTTGCCCTGCCACCAACGTGGAAAACGCATATGGCCACTCCTCTTCCCAGACATCCCCCTCCCAGCCTTGGTTCAACAAAAACTTTGTCGAACTGTGTGTGCGCTCAAACTGGTTCAAGCATGAACCAAACTGCAATTCGGGTTAACTCATGTCTATCTCCCAGCATGGTCGTGTCACCTCCCACTTGAATCGTCTGTGTGTACTTGCTGTCGCTCACTATCTATGCCCTCTAATCTCATCTCCTCACTTATCCCTCCCTGTCTCATCCCACGCACGCACAGGTTTTTTTCAAACAACAATCTGACGAGATCCATTCCCACTCACATTCAATCTCTTTCTCAGCTCTCTTATTTGTATGAAGCTCCTTGTTTTAGGCCCAGTGCCAAGCGTGCATGGTCAAAGTTCACAGGCAAGCAATAAAACAAATGGTTTCGGTGATTAAAAGTATATGGCCACTCCTCTTCCCGGATATCCCCCTCCCCAGCCTTGGATCAACAAAAAAAGTGCGAACTGTGTGTGCGACTTAAAACTGGTTCAAGGGATGAGCAAGGGGCGAACACGAACACGTCGTGTTCGCCCCATCACGAACATCACTGTTTAGCTGATTTCGACCCGATTTCGACACAAGGGGGACTCGAAACCCTAACACATTCTAAGTCAAGGGTAATCTTTTTCCCTCGACATCAATTCATTACCGCAAACCTAATATCCTTCCTCCAGCGACCAAAGGCACCTAGGAACCATAACTACTTGGTTTGCAGCCAAAGAATGATGCGACAAGTTAGAAGTCGACTTGTGGAGAGGCTCAATGTTGAGAGATCTGTAAAGAGTGGGAGGGGGGGAGTTGGGAATGGTAGATTTAGTGCAGTAAGGAGTGGTGAGCAATGGCAAATTGCTTAAAAAATGCTTGTTCCAACACATTCGTCGAAAACAAGTGCCACGTTCGAAACTCCCAATGCTCCACCAGATCGACACAGCGAAATTGACGATTTGCAGAGTTACACCAACGAACTCACCGATCTACGCAGATCGGCGGACGAAAGCGCCGATATGCGCAGATCGGCGGCGAAATCTCTGATCTGCGCAGATCGGCGGGTTAAATCGCCGATTCTGCGCAGATCGGAGGCGGGTTAAATCGCCGATCTGCGCAGATCGGCGGCACAGATCGGCGGACGAAAGCGCCGATCTGCACAGAGCGCGAACAAATTCGGGTTTCCTGACCCGACCCGCCCCGGCCCGAGCCAAAGGTCAGGTCAGGGTTCGGCCCGGACCTGTACCCCTGGGTTGGGTCAGGGTATGCAACAATCCTGACCCGAGGCTGGCCCGACCTGACCCGGGCTGGCCCGACCTGACCCGGCCCGGGAACCCGCTCGGCCCGGCCAAGCCGGGTCGGGCCGGGGCCAAAATGCCCATCTCTAACCTACGTCTCATCGCACGGAGTAGCGACGGCTCGTCCTCCTTGAGCATGGGACTGCGCAAAGTCTTAAATGATATCTAACATCTCTAAACTTCAAGAAATGTGTGCAACTCCTTTCTAGTAGTAGGAAATGTCCCTCATATAACTTTAAGACGTAGTGTTGTGCCTCTTAAAAGTATTAAGTAATGGCGTTTGTGGGAGGACTAGGGCCTGGCGGTTAGGTCGATATGAGAAAGAGCTCAAAAAAGTGAGCTCAATCTAAATACACCGCGACCTAAATCTGGTCCGCAGCCAAATTTGTCAACGAACACTTTCGTGTTCGTGTTCGACGCGCCTCGGTTAGCAGGTCTGGGCGAACGGCGAACATGTTCGGGGCGAACACCGAACATGTTCGCCTCGAACAATAAAAAGACTGTTCGGTTTGTCAAATAATCATCTTCATTGTAACCTGCATCATCATATAAGCTTTGGTTAGAGATAGACACACAAACTTAGTTTGGGTGCTCAACTAGGGTTTACCCTAGTTTGAGGTCGGAACCCAGCCTTGGCTCAATCATCGGGCCCCCAAGATTGGGTTGGAAAACTATTGGACCCCCAATAATGTTGACCCCACTTTTGGTCAACATTATTAGTCCCCCAATAATTCTTCAACCCAACTTATTGTGGGGGCCAATAATGTTGGCATGGCTCCTACATCCTAGCTCAACTATGTAAACCCATGCCCTTCCCAAGAAAATTATCGGTTCTTCAAAATTTCTCACACTGTTCGCCCCGAACATGTTCGTGGCGATCCGAACAGGCGTTCGTGTTCTTGCTCAACCCTTCAAGCATGAACCACAACTGCAATTCGGGTTAAATCATGTCTGTCTCCCAGCATTGTCGTGTCACCTCCCACTTGAATCGTCCGTGTGTGCTTGCTGTCGCTCACTCTATGCCCTCTAATCTCATCTCCTCACTTATCCCTCCCCATCTCATCCCACGCACGCGCAGGGATCTTTCAAACAACAATCTGACGGGATCCATTCCCAGTATCATTCAATCTCTTTATCAGCTCTCTTATTTGTATGAAGCTCCTCGTTTAAGTCTGGTGCCAAGCGTGCATGGTTAAAGATCACAGGCAAGCAAGAAAACAAGTGGTTTCGGGTGATTAAACGCATATGGCCACTCCTCTTCCCGGCCCTCCCCCTCCCAGCCTGGTTCAACAAGATCTTTATCGGACTGTGTTTGCGACTCAAACTGGTTCAAGCATGAACATAACTGCAACTGTCTCCTAGCATGCTCGTGTCACCTCCCAATTATATCGACTTCGTGTGCTTGCTGTCACTGACTCCATGTTCTCTAATCTCATCTCCTCACTTAGGCATCCCCAAATTATATCATGCACATACAGGTTCTTTCTAACAACAGTTTGACGGGTTCCATTCCCAACAACATATTCACGCTTTCTTGGCTCACTTATCTGTATGAATCACCTCGTTTAAGGCTGGTGTTAAAC